AAATGAGTTGTTTTCAATCAAGTTGCTGCTAGAGAGACTACCTGATTCTCAGCTGCTTCTGTGCAGCCTTATGGGAGCAAGGAGGAGGCTGGCTGATGACAGTTAGCCCAGGGTTGGCTTGAACCTTTATAGAGGCTGGTAGACTTGAAGTCTTCCAATTTATCGGTAGATGACCATGGCCAATTCTGATTTTCTAGAGCACAGAGTTTATCCCTTTCTCTGTATTGTAGGCACTGATAGTGCTTTGTGACACTCAGTGAGTCTGTTTATCTAAACTAAATTAATAGTTCTGATTTTTCTGGTAGTCTAGAGCTGCACACTCTGAATATAGGTAATGAAAAGATGCTGCATCAGGGTCAGTATCTGGTTTGTAGAACCTTGTTTGCATCAATGAGATTTGATTGTGTCTGTCTATGGCAGGCAAAGCAAGGTGTGAAATGCCAACAAAAGACTCATATCAGTCTACTGGCATCAAGCCTTGGTAGCTCGGGTGAACGTTGACTTCCTGCCGTGATTATTTTCTTAACTGAAATAAATGGCATTTGCACCTAGTACTTTTTTTTTTCGGTTGAGGGAGTAATATAAATTGACAGCTGATAAAATTGCTTTCCCTCCCCTTTGGTGCTGGAAGTTCAGCCTAACTGAAATATCTAGATAAATAATGCCATGCAGAGAGAGGTCTTTTTTCCGTCTTTTTTCCGTCTTTTTTCCGTCTTTTTTCCGTCTTTTTTCCGTCTTTTTTCCGTCTTTTTTCCGTCTTTTTTCCGTCTTTTTTCCGTCTCCTCTCTCTCCGTCTCCTCTCTTTAAAGGGTGAAAGCAAATAAGAGTAAAAGAGTAAAGCAGAGAACACTTCAGTGACGAGTTGAGTAAAAGGGGTGACTTTATGATAGTGTCTGTGATGGTATGGAGAAGCTGAGGTAAAAGAACAGCAAGGAAGTGGGAAAAAAAAAAAGCATAGCTGTGAGAGAAACAGTAACTCCTTGTTACGAAAACACTCAGCAGTTCTTTGGAAACACTCTTCTGTTAATGATACTGCAATTAATTAAAAATAACCTCAAAATTACTGGGAGGAAACAAAAAGCTCCTAGTCTTCTGAGAAAATGGTCTTTTTTATTACTTTGTATTACAAAGCACAGCAGTGATTGTGTTTCAGTTCAGTACGTACTAGAAGATGCATGTTTAAGCTGTGGTTTCTGTTTAGCACCTCAGTTTCTTTACTTTTATGCATTTAGCTGGGAGAGAGTCATGTTAGAAATCTGAGTTGGCTGTTTCCTTTCCTGATACAAGCAGGAGAAGGTTACAGGAGAAGTTATCCAAAATAATTCAAAGGGCATGAGGTCAGCCCAGCTTCTTAAAAGCATTTGTTTTATGTTGCTAGTTGGAGAGAATTGTTCGTTTGAGTCCTTTACCCTGTTGTGTTGCTGAGGGAGGGTTTGGCAAATTGTGGATTGGGTAGTTCCTATGCTAAGAATATTTGTACCTGCTTAGTATGTGGAGGAAGTTACCTTTTTTATTTGTCCCTACAGTAAAATCCTAGTTATTTTGCAGATGTTTAGTGCAAATTCTATGAGAAAGGAAAAGGCAGCCTTATGGCTAAAGTATGGGATTGAAAGGAAGAACCATTTAGATTTGTCCTTGTGATTAGAAAGAGATTTATTGTGGGGGACATCACTGTGCTGTGCCTCCATTTCCTTTAGGGATATTCCTCTCATTAGTCATGCTGAGAATAAAGTCATTAGTGTTTGCCTGGTGCCTTGAAGTCGTAAAAAGGTACATGCATCTTCTGTATTCTAGTTATTTTGTCCTCTAAAAGTAAGTGGTGGGGAGGTGCAGTCAGTCAACTTTGGTAGGTTCAGATCAATGCCAATGTGTTAGTTCTCCATCCTACATGAATCTTACAGTGTGGTTTGTAGTGGAGAGATGGTACTGAGGGGGAGCACAGGAAGTCATTTAGCTCTTGCTGCTTATTCCAAGGGACACCCACCGATGCAAACTGTAGTTCTGTCTGCATGCCTAGGGATGGGCATTGCCAGATAGAAGTACTTCAGGTGATTATGGGTGCTCATGTGCCTAGAAAAGTACAATTTGATGGTATTGACAGAACAGGGATTCAAGTTTAATGTGCCCTTTGCATCCTTACATTTTGTTATTTTGTATCTTCTAGACTGATTTTTTGCATAAAGTTTGGCACAAATAGTTGCCATGCCAAGTGCTAAAGTCCTGTTGTTCTTAGCTTTTAAATGCGGCAATGTAACCGGGCTTAATGTCTGTTTATCAAGAAATATTTAAAAGATTGGTGCCAATAATGTGTAGTGTTTAACTCTCAAATAAGATACTGTAAAATTAACATTAACCAGACCTTCGGTTCTGTAGATGTAAATCTGTACCTTGTATTTCATCACAGGAAAATGTTTAGCATGTGTTGTGCTGTGTGTGACACCACAGCTTGACACTTGGGGAAGTAACTCTCCGTTTCAGTTGTACAGAATTTAAAAAAACGAAACAAAAAAAACGACCAAGCAAAAACCAACCATGAATTGCCTTTTGTTTAAACTACATTTCAGAATACTTTTACCAGCACCAGTGTTTCCATTCTTCTGTTCCTCCCCTTAGGCTGTGATAGCTTTAGAAAACCTGTTGATACAGATGCACAGCGTTATTACAGGAAACACATATGATACACATGAATCTGTATTTCTTGCTTTTCCCTGTCTTCTGCCATCTCCTCATTTCCCCTTTTAATATTTCTTACTCTCCTCTTTTGTTGTCCATTTCCTCCTTTTACTTACATAAAACCTTGAAGATTGTTGAGTGATGGTTAAAGTCACCACTCGTCAGCGTGCAGTCCTGTCTTGCATTTTTCTGTTGTCTGTGTAAGAAAACCATGGAGAAGGGACAGTACTCTGTTAGCCATCCTGTTTTGTCATCTCTTGTTCTTATTTTCGTGTGTGGTTGTTGTCTGCCTTCTCCTCAGCAGCGCTTTAGACATTTCCTTGTGAAGCTCTTGGATCTAGGACACAGTCATGTCTACTGTCCTTGTTCAGCATTTCCATATAGGTAACAAACAGAACAGAGTTTTCACCCTGTTTAGCTGTTGCCACAGTGCAGGTATTTAGTTTCTGAGGCAAAGGTCTGAGAAATGTTGGACCTTTAATGTCTAGGAAGTGGCTGCTGTGTGAGAGAGAGAATCAGCAAAGCCCAACTGAAATTCTGTGGTGTTATTGAAACAGAAGATCTAGGAGGAGTATAGGATACAGTTACATGTTGGAAGAAAAATCATACGTACAGTGTCTACATGCATTTGGCAATCTGGAAAGTTTACAGGGATTAATTCTGTGGTTATACTTTTATGTACACTTAGCCCCCAGAAAAACTGAGACAGAGGGCTGCAGAAATGTTTCGCTTAGTAGTTATGCCTTGGTAAATCCCACTTCATAAACATGTGCTGCGGCATGGCCCTTGCTAGGGAACATGCAGAGGTGTTTGAAAACGTCTTTTAAGAACCACCTTAGGACTGTAGGGTATGCTTCAAAATGGCAGCTTATACTGTTGAGTACCATCCTCCTTTCTCAAGTCTGTCAGCATATATATGTGTATATATATATATGTATATTTAGACTGACATTTCTAAAGCTGTTAACTTTCTAAAACAATCACTGTTGTGGGTAGGCTTTTAGATACTGCAGTAATGAAGACTACACCTAACAAAAAACAGGCAGAAAAATTTCTAGCAAAGGTCTTCTTTACAGAAGGGTAAAGGCTTATTCTGAAGATGTAAGAAAGCCTGCTCTCTCGTTACTCAGTTGTCTCCATATAATACGCTACACATTATTTTGAGTGTGCACACTTTATTGCGCAGTACTAATGTCTGGCACGAAGTTCGTCAGTTTCTCTGAGGAAACAAAATAGCGTGGGCTAAGTGTGGTCTAAGTAATGCACTGTCCTGATGGACCAAATACTGTTTCAATCACAAGTTAAGCTGTATAAACATGTAAAGTACAGTATAAGAACCTGAAGTACAGCTACATACTTAAAATCTGTAAAAGTAAGCAAACCTACATACTTAGGACTTCGGGTATTTAAAAGTAGACGATACAGAAATGCCTGCATAATATATTTCACCATGGAGTTCAGTGGAATTCGGCAGTTCAGCTGATAAAAATATGTAAGGTACATGTTCCTTCCCCTGTACTCATCTTATACTTTCTGCTTGGTGCTCTTGAAATGTATCCTTACTGAATTTTTTAAAAAATGTTTATAGGGATGCTTCTTTTGCAGTTTATGCAATTAAATTTGTACCTGTCTGCATTAAAATTTTCTTTTCTTGGCTTGGATGCTGAGGACAGTCTCTTCAAGACAGCCCTATTAAAATAAGCATTGCCTGCTTAGTGAAGTTGTAAACACTAGCTTATTTTAAGCATCTGAACAGAACACCATGTCAGTTCTACATTCCGTAAATAGGACTTCGTGACCTTTTGTAATTTTTTCTTAAATACATTGGTTTCTGTGCTACTGCATTATTTTCCTAATCAGTAATGACTACAAGTAAGCATGAGAATATGTAGCAGACATTAGTCATTATTTTGTTTCTTTATTCTTTCCTTAATTCTATATTCCTTGACAAATACATTATCAATAAAAATGTATACAACATGTATGAGTATGTGGGGTTGTATGTGACTGAAACTACACTTTGCCTTAGAAATTGATGGCAACAGTATAGTTGACGGGCATGGTGAACTATGAAGACCATGTTAGGTGTGCACAAAAGACAACTTACGTTTAGCTTATTAGTTGGCCCATTTCCTTCAGAACCTGTGCTGCTGGGTTGACTCTTTTCATTACGGTTTCCATTGACAGAGGCATAGCACAATTTCATTCAGCCAGCAGCTTTAAGGGTTAAGGAAAGGAATTTATTTGGATTTGAGGGCTGTATGTGTATGCTGTGTTTAGAAGGCGTGATACTGATACTGTTTATTTTTTCTGTTTTTTAGGGCAGGTTAAAGTGTTCAGGGCCCTGTATACGTTTGAGCCCAGAACAGTAAGTACATCTAGATTTTAGGATTTTGAGAAGCTTGATGTTAATCTTGTCCGTAACATTTCTTCAGTTCTGCTAGTGTTGGCCTGTTAGACTTACTGTACTGTGTTTTCAATGAAAAAGTCTGTTGATGGATATCAGTTCTTAATGTGACTAAAACTGCCTGATTAATTATCGCTCTCCTTTTTTAAGTCTACCTCTTTTTAAAAGCATCATGTTTTCTTCTCTGTTATCAGTTACCTGCAATCTAAGATCAGCAATTGTAGTGATTTTTTTTCTTTTCTTTGAAAGGCAGTAAAGATAATTAGGAACTAAGAGATTTGGTGAACTAAAACCAACCAAAAAAGGGGATGAAAATTACAAACACAAGATACATTTCACTGCTTTTGTTGCGCAGTGCTCTGTTGGAAAGGCCACAGTTGTCGTCTTTAGTTGTCAGGAAGGTCATAGATCCACAAAGTTAGCTGTAGACATGTATGAAAGACTGCAAGGCTGTTATCTAGTTGCTAGAGAATTTGAGTTACTGTTCTTTTGAAAGAAGAGCTGAATGTACTCTGTGTTATCCGGGTATTTGTTTTTCCTAGGTATACACATTCAGCTTTTTGTGTACTTGCCTTTTTTTTTTTTTTTGTTGTTTTTAAGCCAGATGAACTGTACTTTGAAGAAGGAGATATCATTTACATCTCAGACATGGTAAGTCTAAGACACCCCATACAGACAGAATACTTCAGAGATGCAGCATATCCTTTGTAAAATATTTTCCCTCTTCTCTGCAGAGTGATACGAATTGGTGGAAAGGAACTTGCAAAGGGAGAACTGGACTAATTCCAAGCAACTATGGTAATGTATAGAATATTTTCATTTGGTAAGATTATTCACAATCAAAGGAGATCACTTGATAAAAATAACGGGTACACTTATTTTGAAAAACTGATCACAGTATTGGCATTTAACAGTCCTCTACCAGAATATTTCAGAATACATCTGCGATATTGATCAGAGAGCTTGAGTTTACCAAGTGTTTGTGTTTCTGGTTGTGCGGGTATCTGCAATAGATATTCTCAGTTTTGAGGGGAAGAGCACTTGGATCTAAAGGATGGTTTTACAGACGGCACATGAAACTGATAGGCTTAAATTCTATTTCAGTTTTTAAGATCTTCTCGTTAGGAGTATCTTAGAATTCGTTGAGTCTGTACATTGCCTTTTTTTTTAGTAGATGTAAGGATGGGCAGTTGCAGCTTTTAGTAGCTTTGAGATCAAGAGCATGGGGTGGCTTCTTACAGAGACAGATGATCAGTACTGGAATTGTTAAGTAAACCTGCACATGGACAGGATGGTAGAGGAGATTGTGACCAATTCTGTAGACCTCCTTTGATTTTTTCTTTTTTTTTTTTTCCAACTTAAGTAATAGGGCAGTTTTGTTTGCCATTTTTTGCTTTTTAATGAATATATTCAGCCACAAAAGAGCATTGTTGTCTTGGGGTTTGCACTACATTAAATATCCCATACCTGTTTGGACTGAATAGGAATTGCGTTTTCAGATTCAACCAAAATCACTTTGTAGAGCCATGAGTACAGACAATACGGCATAATTCTTCCGAGTCCTACCAGGAAATGTAGGCAGAGTAGCAGTGTCGTGAGGCAGACTGTGTCAAAACTGCTAATACATTGGTAACTGTGGTTGCTTCATGTTGTCCCTTCTTCACTAGGAGACATTACGGTAGCGATGCTATGATTCTCTGTCCTGACCTGTTGTTATTAGAAATACATGAATAGAAGCCTGTGGTGCAGTTACTGAGACCATGGCATCAAATTTCACTTTAGTTTGTGACTTCCAGCCTGATTGTACTCTTGCCATCTGCCAGAGGTGGTCAGTGTTATATATAAGAATAGTTTGCATGTGCTTACTTACACTGAAATTTCTTTTGAACATTGAAGTGTGTTACGTTTAAAATAAAACCAACAACTTACTAATTCAGTTTGGAAAAGTTCCTTCCAGATTGCTTTACTGAAAAGTTATCTGAGCAAAAGTTTAACTTCCATTTGAGGCCAGGCAGGGGGGTGTGGGGTGATGTTGTCTCTGTCTGCACATTTGCAAAAATTTCGTGTGTAAGCAGAACAGAAGCCTCTTCAGACCCTATGAATAAAGAGTACCAGGAACATATCTTCTGATTTAGACAAACTGTGCAAAATTCCTAAAGGCCTCCTTGTGCTGGTTGCCACCATTTGGACTGCCTAGGTTCAGTCTTACCCATAGAAACACTGTGATCTCCTGTGCTCTGCTACAACCTTTTTGCAAAAGGTGGAAACTGACCTGAAACTACTGAGTCTCTGGTGAGGTCTTGTGCTCCATATAGCTGGGCTTGAAGGAACGCATTTGAAAACACTGTGAGTGGAAAAGCTGATGAAGATGCAATCAGTGTTATCTGCATTTAAAATATTTATTACTGAACTTCTGATAAGAATTTTCTAGAGACAGAGTTTTTTTTTAGGCTTTTGAGATGGTGCTGTTAGTGTTAATGCCTTCTGCTATGTACAACAAGCACAGCTCAGTATGACTAGTATGTTCTGCTTCTGTAATGGCTGTCTGCTCTGGGACTGGCTTCTCCCAATCTGCTTTAGGATTCTGTTCACTGCACAAGTTTTTTTTTTAAACTGAAATATCAAAATCTAGCATTTGTGTTCTATTTTATTGACAACTAGAGAGACAAGCGTGTGAAATCTTGCAGTGAAAAGCATTGACAAGCCAGTCTTGTTTAACTGCTTCATCAACGACCTGGATTTAGAATGTACCCTCAGCAAGTTTGCTGATGACACCAAACTGGGAGGTGTGGTAGATAACACCAGAAGGCTGTGCTGCCATTCAGCGAGACCTGGACAGGCTGGAAAGTTGGGCAGAGAGGAACCTGATGAGGTTCAACAAAGGCAAATGCAGGGTCCTGCACCTGGGGAGGAACAACCCCATGCATCAGTACAGGCTTGGGGTGGACCTGCTGCAGAGCAGCTCTGCGGAGAGGGACCTGGGTGTCCAGGTGGACAACAGGTTGACCATGAGCCAGCAGTGTGCCC